TTATGAAATGTTTATGAAATCATATTCATATTTTTAGCATGTACTTTCTTGAACAAAGAAATGCGAGAAAATGAACTAAACCCGGCATACACGAATACAGATTCAAGAAAGCATAAACATGAACAAGAAAACAGGGTGCAATATGTAACCTGAAACCATGATGAAAAACGAAGCCGAAGCTCAAGCAGCGTTTATTACACACAAGGGCATTTCAATTGAAGGGGATCACACCACATAATTATAGACATTAAATGGCAGAAGACGTTCGACACCATTGCTGCCATTGTTACAGAAGAGAATATAGTTGGTGATGAAGGCTTTTAGGTGGTGGCTATGGCCGATTGGCCGGTCAGCTTATCACTCAGTGTCATCCACACTAAAACTATAAACATCCCTCACATGAATAATCAAATAAACACACAAGCAGGCTTTCCTCACCCCGTCCTATTTACATCTACCGTTCAGAACAGCTTTGATATGACGTGGCATGACGTCCACAATGCTGATGTGGCAGCTCTGAGAATCGCTGGGTTCTGGTATATTCTGGATAATAAAGGCATTACCAAAGCAGCAAGATTATCAGTCAAAGATACACATCAAGACCCTTCTTGGTCTTGTAAAAAGCTTTAGAAGGTAAAATGTGGGGATTCGAATATAAATCTTTGAAACTTACGGAGCTTCAAAGTGAGTACAATATCGAATTATTGTTTTTTAGGAAAATAAGCGAGTTAATATTCATTTCTGATACATGGAATTGTTCCCTTCGTCTCATAAAATACTGTATTGAGCATATTGATGAACAAAAAGTCTAATGCAGAATCGTAGCATATTTTTTTAAAAAAAATAAAATTTTCAACATTTAAACCATCCAAGGTGCAGGGTCATGTTCATCCCTCACTCCAATGGAACTATAATAGTGATTAATAAGTATGGTCAATGGGTGTAAAGGTATTCCCCAACAGGCATGGAATTAAAAATAAAATAAAATAGATAAGAGCAGACAAGATAAAATTGCTTACCCAATTGCTGTCGCCCCCCACGATGCAACATTGTAAAGGACTTTGCTTCCATCCCATGCCTTGCGAAATTTCCCTTTTTTCTTTTTTACAGAGAATGTCTTGCTGAGGGCTGTAAGAAAATTCAGCCGTTAGGTTTGTGATCTCCATCTCATGTAAACCATAAGTTTGTTATTTATAATACCATTCTCTAGAATCAAGATTGAATAAATTTAAATAAGAAAAGATTAAAGCCCACCTTCCTGCAGTTGGGTTGGTGTTAGATCCTGCAAAATATGAGGAAAACAATAAGGCATGAGTGAAAACTTCCCCTCTATGTAGGGAAAAAGCATTATATATAAATACATAAATACAAAAATGACAGGGCAGCTAAATTGTTAGGCGAAGGGGTAGATGATGTGGGAAAAGTACAAGTATACCCTTACTAAAAATGAGCAAATGTTTTTATACAATTGTGAAAGCTAATAATGGTAATTTACATCCGTTAACTAAACTATTTCCTGACCCCTACCTGCCCTTTATATAACTTCTTGTTCATATATCATGTCCTAAAATGCTAAAATTACAACCATTAACTGCAGTGTAACTGTGTATGACATCCCCCCACCCCCACTCAAAAAAAATGAAGGCCATAGTACACTTCAAAGGGATCTATGAAAACAAGATGTATGCACCCATTCATCTGACATATCAATTATAAAAAATTAGCGTTTCATGGGGGAGGGTGGGTGCAAATGAAATACAACCTTGGCCTGTTTAAGAGACAGCAGATATGCGGCCATGAAACATGCTATACCCTCCACTATGTCTTCTTGCCGAACTAAAACATAGTCTTCATTGTCCAAAAGAGGATTTCCACTTTCCCACAGATCATTGTCACTGACCATGTCCCATGAACTGCCTTCTTCTATATTACACACAAATTGAATAAACGGCACATTAGGCAGTAGCATGAACGTGGAAACTAACAGTATTACAGAAAGAAAATTTGATCTTCCCATACTATGTTCATCATGATTTCACATATCAACAGCCCAAAGGTTGATCTTCACAGATCACATAATATCCAAATGAGTCAGTAACTTCTACTAACAAATTCTTGAGACCATACCAGCAATGTTCTGTGAAACTGATGCTTGAACACTCTCTATCTTTTGAAGGAAATCTGGGCTATCAACTCTCGACTTCAGAAGATCGCATAACTGTGGAACCAGACAGAACAAAACCAGATTACGGATTTGCCTAAAAAAAAGGAACAGCATCTAAATCCATTTTCACACATAATCTAAGTGAGCAAGTCATTACAATAGTCACACTCAGAGCAGGCTGTGAAAACTAGTTCACTTAAACTGGTATAATGATTAATGAGAATGGGCAGAACAGCTTCCAAAACTGTGGTAGGGGAATAACAAGTAAAAAACTTCTATATCACATAGGAACTTAGGACTGATGTGCTAACTCGTCAACCCGATTGAACAATGGCAGTAGCACATTATTAACCACATAGAATGCCACAATGATTAAAAGATGTCAAATCTATAAATAACAAAATCATTTATAATAATAATGGATGAACTAAAGACCTAAAAAAACGAATCACCTCATCTGCCTCAGCATCACAAGCCGGTGCAGATGACGAGCACTCATCGTTCTCCTCCACATCCTTATGATCATCTCCGGCGGCACAGGCATCATTGTCAGAACAACCGGAAGAATTGAGGAGCTCAAGAGCTCTCTGGCACTGCTGGAGCACCGCCTCCAGTGTTTTTCTCTTCACCCGAGCAGGATCCCTTTCCTCCGTACAGGCTTTATGTGGTCGGGTCTCCTTCTCGTCGCCGCCGGTAACCTCCATGCCCTAGCAATTCACAACCACCGTACACGCGGCGAGGGGAGATGATAAAACAAGCTAGGGGTTTGAAGTCGAATCTTCTTCCTCTAGTGTTTCCTGTCTCATACCATTGATGATGATGATGATGAATTGGAATCCGCCATGGCTAAGGCTTTGAGATTGGCTTTAAAACGGGTCGGATCCGAATCCAAGATTGACAATCGGTGTGAGCCGCCTGAGAGTTGATCGCTTGTTGGGTTTCGTCTGGACAAATCATTGCTTACACGGAGTGTCATATATATACTCCTCCGTAATCCGTATACGATTTTTTTTACTACTCCTTCGGTTGATTACAATTTCTAGTAAGGAGTAATTCCTTATTTTTAAAAAAAAATTAATTTATTTAATATTGGTATAAGAATAATAATAGCATTTACATATTAAAAAATTATGGTAAACAATTCTACTAAATAAGAAGTGATAAGAATATTTTATTTTTAAATACTTAATGAAAATACACAAAGTTATCGAAATGAGTAGTATTTTTTGGTAAAACATATTCTTCCCAACACAGTGAAAAATAAACAAATACGGAATATCACATTGTAATTGAGTCAATTGTACTAATTATTTTTTTTTAATTTGAAATTGATTTGGAAATAAAAAAAATAGAATTATTCTATATACTCCGTACATTTTAAAATCATATAAAAATTTTACAAAATTAGAGTTGACATATTTATGTTATTTTGTAAATTGATCAATGGAAATAGGAAAATAAAGACAAAATTTTACTTGAAACTTATAGACAACAACATTCTTTTGGGGACACATAAGGTAAAAAGTATTCTCTCTATTCTAATTCAAATTGGGAAATGCTTAGTTCACAAACACAATAATCACAAACTTCATAAACTTACTATTTGTGAACTTCAATAAAATAAATAAATGGTCTAAAGAAATTTTAAAATGAAAATTTAAACCATAAATAGTAAGTTTGTGAAGTTTGTGAGTATTCTGTTTGTGAACCTAGCATTGCTCATTTAAATTACATGTTCATTATTTATATAATACAATTGCTCACTTCTAAGACATAAAATTTTTAGTTTAGCTTTCAAATACCTAACAAGTTGTGCGTGTAAAAGTGTAATGAAGATGAAGTCCAAAGTGTGCGGGAAAAACAACTAAGGAAAGAGATATTGATTATATATATCATCTGTGTAAAACAAAAACAAAAAAATATATATGTACACAGAAAGAATGGGTGAAAAAAATGGCAAATTTCAATAGAAAAAATTAGAGCCCAGTTTGTTAGTGGTAAATCCATCTCTGCACAGCATTGATCTGACTTCAAGAATGGACCTCGGCGGCTCCATGTCCTTCTCCTGCACAGAATTCCCCAAATGCTGCTGCATCTGCGACGCAAACGTGTCGTCCAGAACCTGTGATATATATACAAAAAAGTAAAACACAAACTTAAGCAGGCAACCAGACAAACATGGCACAAGTTCAGTTCTTGATTGGGATTGGGCACTCACAGAGATGGCTATGCGCGCGTTCTTGTACCATGTTTGGTTCTCTTTTCTGCTCTCCAGGAAACCAAGAACATCCTACACGGCAAAACGCGTGCAAAACTTAGAAGAAGGGGAAAAGAATGCGACACGAACATGATGGATTTAGGAGAGTTTATTGTTTTGGTTACCTGTCCCATCCTGTCCCAATATCCGCGACAGAGTGCTACGAAGACAGTGGGACCCAGTATGCTGTACAGATGGTTTATGGTGGTCGTCAGCTGTTCCTTCAATGGCTGCATCTTGCTTCTCACCTCAGACTCCGTTAGAGCATCCTTAGAGTCGTGTAAGATCTTCTTCAGCTTCGTGCTGCTCTGGGCCTTTGCCTGAATCAGAAAAAAACAGATCTTTATGATTATTGTTTGCAAAAAGAGAAAAAAAAAGAAGCCTTCAATATGATTTACTTACATTTTCTGCAAGTTTCTCGACAACGGCTTGTAAGTAGTTCTTGAACTTTGATCTGAGCATGACTGTGACCTCACTCAAACGCTCTCCAGGGGCACCCTCGGGAATGTATGCCCCCCAAGACTTGAACTGCAGTTCTATTTTGGGGCGAAGTCTGTCGAGCATGTGTTTCATTGAATTCAATAGAATGCCAAGCTGCAAACAATAGTAAAAAGTTTTGAGCATGTTAATGTTAGATTATTTTATTGAAGGAGAATGAAACTGCGCATTCAAAATGACATCTTTTGACAGAAAGACAAGAATGGTTACATCATCTGGCACCACGTAATGGCAGACCGATCTTTTTGCGAGTTTTTGAACAATATTGTTGAGCCCAAACTTCTTGGGACCCAAGTTCTCTTTAAGGGGTGCCAACACATCTGCATACTGCTTCTCCAGAGCCTCCAAGATTGCCTTTTCAACATCAGCAACAGCCTTTTTTGAAAGAAAAAAAAAAGATAATGAAAAGGAGAGAATGTTCAGTCAAGAATGTAGTTTTAATGAAAGTAGGGGGAGAAAAAGCTCAAGAATGAGTCTCTTGGTGGACATACACTCTCCAAAAATGACGTGTATTCTGGCCAGCGAGATATGATGACCTCATAATCACTCAAGGTCTCTTTCAGTCTATCGTACATCTCATCAACAAATGGGGTCGTTGAATGCTGGGTACGGACTCCTGACCATTTCACCTGCAGAGTACACGGAACTTCCTTTCATCATTGATGGAAACATAAAGAAAATTTGATATTATATAATGGACTACATTGCAAAGAGTGTGTAAAAACTGCACCTAAACAAAGAGAATTTAGTGATACAAGAAAGACCATAGAACAAAGAAATTTATCCTGGGAAATATGTGTGGCAAATTGGAAACAAAACATACCCCACAAGTTTAAGGTAGAAATTCAATAAATTGCTTCTAATGCAAACATTCCAAGTGCATGTTTGACAACAAAACTATAAGTTCGGCCAAGGTAGTGTTGAATCGTATATAATTACCTTATCTAGCTTGCATGATTCAAGCAAAGCAAGCCGTCTATCCTGAATCCAGATCATTATATACAAATGGAACAACTCCTTCGCATCAACTCCTCCTTTGACTGGCCTGAAAGAATAATTATACCCATTCACTATGAATTGCAGCAAAGTTAATCGCGACTATGTGTTTTCATGAGGATATGAAAAAACATACTTGATATTCCAGCTGGCGAGGTCTCTCTGGAAATCCGATGTTGCAATTACAAGTTCTGTAACGTGAGGTGAAGGGCCTGTTGGAGGGCATGCGATGAGGAATGCACGCAACCTACTGCACAGTTCAGCACTATATATTGCAGAAGAAAGGTTTGGGAGATCTATGAAGCTGCAAAAATACAAACAAAGGTATATGGAAGGTCAAGCTTATCATTTCTCAAATGAACGAAACCTAATATCTTTGAATAAGCATGTATGAATGGGACCTTCATCACTTGAATTAGTTGAATGTATGTAAAGAGAGATGATCAATGCCGCAACATGACCATCTTAATGATACCGCAACTATGTACTATCATACATAGTTTTCTCAAGTGATTGGGATTCCAAACAGAGAAAAACAAGGCATTCACTGATTTTAAGTACAACTCTGACACTCACGAAAGAATAGTACCTGGGAAGTATATTTTGATTATGGATCTCTATATCTGTGAAGATTTCATTTCTGATGTTTGTACAAAGGGATTTCATTTTCTGATAAGCTGTAGAAACAGTCACAGCATCCAATGACATTCCTTCAATGTTGCCACTGACATATTCATCCGTCTCTGTTAAGTGCCTTCTTGATCTTTTCTTAGCAGCAGCCTGTAGTGTGTGCAAAAAAAACAAAAACAAAAAATGTTAAATACGTGTTGAAAATAGGCATATACATACTCTACAAAAATCAAAATCTCTCGTTTCCAAACCTGGAAGTGGCTATAAAGTTTGTTTTGAACCTCTGGGGATAATATATCATGAAGAAGTGAATACAGTTTAACAGCAGGCTCCAGCACTGGTGGTGCCACCCCCGTAGCAGGTCTGAAAATTTCCATCAATCCTGATGGTGCCGACTCGTCAAGCAATTTGTAGTTCTCAAAGACCAATGCAAATATCTGTTCTATTTGATCCTCAATTTCTCCTAAGATGCGATTCTGGAGTAAGAAATGAATAACATTCCGTTATTACTTTTTGCTATAAGATAAAAACACTACTTATTGATTCAAAATCGTACCTCTTGATGGCTTAGCGTGCACTTGGAATTGCCTTTCATCATTACAGGCAACAACAGTTCATACACCAATGTAAGACAATCAGCTGTTGGAGTTGCCACATCCATAACATATGAGAGATACCTGAAAAAGAAAATGAGCACAGAAAATATGAAGAAAGTGAGACTTTACTTGTTTGGGAATGAAGAGAAAAAAATGATGGAAATTAAAATGTGATTTATTTTTTCTATCATCATCTTTCTCTAGAAGGGAACAATCACTATTCATTATAAAGGTGACTTTAGTGTCCTATAGTCCTATATAAATTCTGAAAATTGTTTTGTGTATGTTTTGTAACTTTGAATCAGAAATCCCTCTAGAGTGTAAGAGCCTGACTTGTTATGTTGCTTTACCTTAGCCTGGTGTATGTATCAGAAATCCCATAATATGATGTGAACTCCGAGAGCAACCACTTCCATGGGCCATGAAGCAATAAATTTCTTTGTTGAAAATGCAGAATCTTCATTGCAACCTCCAGAACCAAGTCATATGCCACAGTTTCTGCAACTGAACCACACTGGAGCAAGATACGTCAAAAGTCAAAACTCACACTAAGAGGATCCTTCCATTTACCAATAGAGATCAGTTTATCAGTCCCTAATAGATTTCCCATAATGATTGCACCAGTTTTTAATGAAGTTCATCTTGTTTTTCACATTCCAGTGTAATTATTGTGAACAGGTTGGGGAATTCACCTTTAGGTTGCTGTGTTCATCTATAATTGCTGAATAGTTTATATACAGTTGCACTTTTCCAACTAGCTCATGCTCTGGTTCGTGGTATAGGGACCACCATCGCAATTTCTCACTCTGCATCCATCAGAACCAGTCTTAAATATCAAGAATCATCTGTTCAGCAAAAAGTAAATGTTTATATCCAGAAAGAGAGGAAAATACCGGTTCATCTGCAATTGTCGCCACTTGAGCAAGTACACGACCGTAATGTTGGCCTTGGGAGTTATAAACTTCAAGAATTAGATCATCTGCTAGGCTGTCTGGAAAGCTGTTTAATGCATTAATTTAAGTCTTTTCTAATTAATTAAAAGAAACCCCGACTAATCCAATGCATTCTAACACTGAGAGATCGAAAGATGGCATACAATATATGGGTTTCACTTGATCCAGGCTGCATTTTGATTGCATCCTCTTCTCTTGAACTTTTTAGTCGCAGTGAGCAACAGTAAGACTCTGATCAAATAAAAAATGGCAATATAAGAGGTTTTGAATGTAATGTAAATACTAAAAGAAAATCTGCAAGTTGCTACAAAACATGGCGCTACAAAACTGCATACCCTGTACAGTTTCATAAGATGATGGACTGCTGCGCAAAGATGTCACACCGATTTTCAAGAGCCCAGAGACTTGCTTCAAATATTGAGTACTTGCTTGCATGTATGCCAAGCTTTGGTGTGAAAATGAACCGTTTCTAGGAGCTTGAGGGGCAAAGCGGATCTTGCGAAGTGCTTTCCATCCAGAAATGATTGATGATTGCAAGTTAAAGAAGTGATTCCTTACACAATCCATCTTTACATGTGGAGCATTCAAGGATGAAAAACCGCATCCTGTAGGTGGGTCCATGGCCATTTTCACCTTCTTGACTGCAAAATGAGTGGTTGTTAAGTGCATTCTTATCAGAAACTGATGAAAAGAAGAAACCCAAATGGTCATTACCTTGGACCTTCATCTTCCCAGTTAATTGCTTAGGCTTAGAAGGAGCAGTGCCCTCTGTTACACTCTCTGTCCGCTCTGACCGTTTTGCCATCAGTTCCTCTTCTGATTGGAGTAGAACCTGTTGCAAACTGTCAATGAAAAAAATGGTTTAGATTGTCAATTGTCATGTGCAATTTATGAACTTTTTAAAAATAAACAGATGTGACTTTTGTAACACCATAGAATCCTACTGGCGGGCAATGCTCAAATGATTTAAAGGGTAGCATTTTGATGCCAAAATCAAAATGGCACGTTAAACTTCCCTTGCTTCTTACTTCCTTATAAATTTTGGCACATCAAGGGTTTAAAAAGGAAACAGACCCCTTTCTTTGCAGGGTTAAGGTTTCATACATCCAAACCCCAAGGACTTTGTTGTTGTATTTTTATGCTAAAATCATGATCATCGTCATTCTAAGCACCTAAATCCCAATTAGTTGGGGTCAGTGACATTGGTTTTACCGTGCAAAGTGATTGTATAAAACTAATTTAACACTATTAACTCATTCAAAAAACACAGTCGCAATGTTTTACACCAGACACTCTACCAGTCGCATTCTTCTAATGAAGGAGTGACGATATGAAAGTCCTATAACCACCATTATCATAGGTTACTTATACATGCATGGAATCAAGACATTTATCATTGTAATGATGGTTGACATTGTAAAATAACCCTGCAAAACATGGAGCTTGACCAATTCTGATGCCAAAATGCTTGTACCTAAAACCTGTACGCGTATGAACTTAGAAAATGTGCATGTTGTGACATGATCAATTATGTTAATAATGTCATTAAGTGAGACATGCTTTCTAGCCTTGTTTGGCAACAACGTTTTCAATTAGTATTGGCATTTTGGGTATTTTATTAATGGTGCCATTAACTTTGAAAATGCTAAATGTTGTCATTAGATAGTCTAATGGTTCATTGTAATAACATAAATGTATAAAAAAACCAACTAACCTGAAAGCGTCGCGTAGCAAAGCACACTCATTCTCAAGAAACATCGGAGCTTCCATACACCCTCTGGCCCATGCGTGAAGGCATAGCCGAACACACGCATCATATGCAATAATTCGATGCCAAGGTCCTAGTGCACTTTTAAACACACCAAGAAAAAATCGGTATTATCTCATTACAATAGGTAATAAAAAATAGTACACATTTGAATTAGCCTCTTTAAGTTTCCAGTAGAGATTACCTAACATGAAATGTTGGAGCCCTGATGAGATGGGAACCACCAGATGGTCTTCCATTTTCTACACCAACACTGCTTCTGCAAAACAACCAAAAGAACATCATTTAAACATAATAAAAAGGCATAGAGATATGTTAAGCATGAATGAGAAAAGAATATGGTATGTCATTTATAAGAAACATTCAATTTATTTATCCTTATCTGTTGTTGAAATGCTAAAAAGTAAGTAATTTTAGAGTCCATTTTTCAAAAAACAAAAAAAATTCCAATTCAATTTAGTTCATCACATCTTTTGTTAAAATTACAATTTACACTTTGCACAATTTAGGTTTATGAGAAAATAAATTTCTCATGAATGTTGAAACATGCCAAATGGTTAGTGGTAAAACCCTTGATTTACTCAATAATGCATATATGGTAAATCTAAAAAAATGGAAAAAAGACCTCATAGATGAATCAGATGTATTCTTGACATTATCCTCCTTGGATAAGACATCGCCATTTTTCTCATCTGCAGAAGCTATGGACGCTGGAGAAACAACCTTTCCATGATCTTGTTTGATTTCGGCAACAATAGGAGGCGCACTCGGAATGTCTTCTTCATCAAAACAACCTTTCTTCCTCAAACTTCCATCGCCAGCAATGGCAACCTGAAAAGTTCACAAGTTCATACAGTTACTTAAATACTAAGGGTTCTTAACATATAAATCTAACAGATCTATAGAGCAGTAAGTACCTTTTGGATTTCACTTCCTCTGTTGGATTTTGAAGGAACACTGGATGAGAATTCGGAACTCGCGACAGAACCTGAGACCTCATCTTCCTCCTCTGTGTAAGTTCCTCCTCCTCTACCGGCCACGCGGCCAATCCCTCTCCCAGATGTCTCCCTTGATGAACTGACATCGCCGGAGACACCACTCTCGCTGCCGCCTCTGTACTGCAGCGGCCGCCGCCCTGTGGAGTTGTTACTACCATAGTATCTCTGACCCGTGGGCACTCTCTCGTCCGGTGGAGATGAATCCAGTGAATATCTTCCCTCCGAATCGGTCGACATGTCATCCTCAGAGGCCATCCCGTCGGAATCCCCGAGAATATTGACTCTAGAAGCCGCCGGAATCATCCCCAGCTTCGGCGGCGGAAGCCCGGCGTTTCTGCCGAGGCTACTCAGACCACCGAATCCGCCAATCTGACTTGGAATCGGAGTGTAACGAACTTCCGGCTTGTGATTGCTAGACCCCTGCAACGGATTTCCATTCAAACAATTTCAAATCTATTCCAACAGCTCAAGAAACTTACAAACCCCGCAATTTGAAATTTGAAATTCATATCAAAATCAAACGGGCAAAAGGAGCAGAAGAAGAAAGAAGAAGAAGAAGAAGAAGAAGAAGACCTCTCGAACCCATTTGAGGGCGTTGCTGTCCAGTCCCTCTGTAAACATCATCTCCTCCCTGCCAAGAGCATCAAGTGAACGGAAATGAAAAAAAAGAAACAAGAAAGATAAAATCTTGCAGAAATATACACAAGAAAGAAGATATGGGCAAACCAAATTTCAAAGAAGATGAAGAATTATTGTAGAACACCAAACCCAGATTTCTAAAACAAGAAAGCGATGATTAGTTCTAAAAAGAGAAAGAAAATTAAGGCCTCACTTCACAGTTCACACCCTATAATAGTATAATCTCTCTCTCCCTCTCTCTCTCTCTCCCTCTCCCTCTCTCTACTTCAATTCTAAGCAAATCATCTCATAGGGTATATGAAGATGGATGAGAACAGTGGATATTCCTTGTTTGGGGATGATAAATGCGATTGGAATTGAGATTTGAACAGTTGTATTAAGGCTGTCGTGTTGGTTCTTAGCTATATTAGCTGGGCTGCAGCAGGGTTAATGGAACAACAAGAATTAGAGAGCACGTAAAAATGGTGGTGGGTGGCCTACGTGGCCGAAAACAGCGGACGTGGGTTCTGAGGATTCGGGGGTGTGGTTTGTGATGACCCAACAAACTCAAAATTTCAAAAAAAAAACGGAAAAGAAAATTGTGAGAAATTCGAACGTTGGAGCTGTGGGTCCCAGCTCTCTCACATGCTGTACTTTTGGAGTATTCGGTAATTTTTCTCTTTCAAAGGTCAATTCGGTCATTTTAGGCCATCTCCTCCTTCCTTGCTTGTAAAGACTCCTTAGTCGACTGAACGGCGTCGTTTGGGAACATTTTTTTTATGGAGGACTGTTTTTTCCCGTTTATGATCCAACTTGTACATTATTAAGAAAGGAACGATAGGGTACACCATTTGGGGTACCTCATTTGTACTCCATCAATCTTAATCTTCCATTTCTTTTTTTATTTTTAAATTCTTTTTCCTCTCTTACTTTTGTGTGGTGGAGATCGAAGGGGTACGAATGAGGTACCCCAAATGGTGTACCCCTAGCTTTTTTTTATTAAGAATTGGTTGCACCAGGAGAAGCTACTTTCTTTATTCATACTGCAAATCACATCACATGTGCCCCCGTATTTTCAAAAATATATTTATTAATAGATAAACAAAATTAAATTAGTTAGAGGGGGGGTTCCGCTGACATGAAACCCCATGTCGTCCAATAGTATGGGTCCCGATTATGACATCTAAGGTATTTCGTTCGAAAAATTGATGATTTTTACTCCGGTAAACCCCACCATCCTGGCCTGCCCCGAATCCACTCACACACTCCGTTAATTGCACCTCACAAGATTTAGTTGGTTTTGGAATCAAATTTTGATTTCAAGTTCAACTAAATCTAGTATGATGCAATTGACGGGGTGCGAGGGTGGGTTCGGACAATTGACGGGGTGCAAGTTTATCTTATTTTCGTATTGTATTGTTAATATAATTCTTTTCCTACTTAGATTAAAATTGTCTAATCTAATCCCTATATATGGATGTATCATTCATTATTTAATAAGACCAATTATTATCGAATTGTATAATGGTATCGAAACTAAGATTCTTTAAAACCTAGGCTCTTCTTTAAGACCGAACACACAGTCGGTCTCTGTTTACGGCGGTCAATCGTATGATAGCATGACGTCACCGAGACAATGACCGATCTCTACGAGTGTGCTTAATAGCCGCCATCCATCACCCATTTCTTTCTCTCCAAAAAATCAATTATCTCTCTATTTCTCTTTAGACAATTTCATTATATCTCTCTCTTCCAAAAAATTATGTGCCTGACCGAAGAACGTAAAATTTGCATTTGTTTGTGTTTTTTTAGAGATCAAGAGCATGAAAAGCGATAGAGAAGTAGAGAACAGCCCAGGAGGAGAAAAAAGAAACTTCTCGCTCTTGCTCTAATCGTCAACACTCTCACCAGTAAAAAACTTATCAAACGTAACTTCAAACTTTTTTGTCATGCAACGAAGATCTGACTCTCTACATCTAGAGGTTATCCTCACAAAACTGTTTCTGCCAGCTCAATTATTGTACATGTTCTCCAAGCTGCTCCTCGTTACCGAGGACCAACTTGCGGGGATATTAGAAATATTAGATAACAGGAAATAAATAATATATTTATTTAATTTCCTTATTATGTTATTTTCTTATTGTATTACTACTACTGAAAGTCTTCTTCTCATTGTATTAATTATCTTTTGTAATCCATATAGAGGGATATACTTTTCATTGTTTAATAAGACCAGTTATTATCAAATTCCATCAATTTTATTTAAAGGTTAGTATTAAACTAAAAAATAAAATTGTATATTTTCGAAATGTACATAAAAAATTTAAAAAGTAAAATGTGATCAAATAATCAATAAAAATAAACAAAAATTTATGTAAGTTTTAAATGCAGAAGAATGCAAATCATTGTAAGAAATAGATTATCAAATTTTCGTTAAAAAATATATCATTCGGAGTAGGAGAAAAGATAAATGCTTGGTTCATAAACACAATGACCACAAACTTAGTACTCCCTCCATCATAATACGTTCCCCCCATTTCTGTTTACAAGGTTTGACCGACTTTATTTTCAATTCAATTTATTTGATTATACGTATAATATTTAAATATAAAATTTGTATATTTAAAAACTATATTAAAAATTATACAAAACAAGAGGTGAGAAGACTATATTATTTTAACAAATAACTAACGAAAATAGATAAGAAAGTGATTAAAGTTTGATTGTGGGAATGTTAACTGAGAAGAATGTTTTAGGATAGAGGAAGTATTTTTGAACTCCAACAAAAGATATTAAGTAGCCTAAAATAATTTTAAAATGAGAATTTAAACTATACATAATAAATTTGTAAAGTTTTTAACCATTATATTTGTGACCTGGTATTTCTTCAGAGAAAATATGTATGTTCCTTATTTTTTCTGGAGTCAATTTTTTTTTCAAAGTCAAAATTAACTTAAGAATGCAATTGAAGGAGTGGTGGGGTGTGTGTTCGGATCGGGAAGGATTGAAATATTAGGGGAATAAAAATCTGTCAATTTTACGAATAAAAGAGATCAAGGAACCCGTCCTTGTTTTCAAAGTAAGGAAAAATAATTGACCTTTCAACGATTCCGTTCTACGGAGGACTAATTTTTCTCTCCATTTTTCAATCTCCATGGCTGCTGCTTGTTTCTGATTTTTGCTAACTTTAGAAGCAAAGTGACCACCTTATCCCCAATATTAATAATTTAATACTCCGTACATGTATTTTTTGTTTTTTAAATCGGATAAGACAATCTTGTTCGTATTCATCTTCTCCGCCGCTGCCGACGGCGCGTGGACGATATCCTCCGTCTATTTTTGCTAGAAGCTGAAAACTGCTCTGAGAGAGAAATGATGTGGGATGACTGGGACGGCGATTTTCGACTATCACAGAACGGTGAAGATCGCGGCCACGAAGCTCGACAGGAGGAGGAAGGGCAACGCCGCCGAGGCGAGGAGGAGCACGACGAGTCTTCTCACTTTGACTTCGATTTATCATCTCTCATTCCTAAGCCTAAGGTACCTTTTCGCTTTCCGTTCTTACGAAATGTGGTCTCCGTTCCTTTGCTGCTTTTAGGGTTTATTGGGAATTTACTCTTCTACCAAAAGTAGTCCTATTTCTACAGTTTGTAACACTATGTGTAGTTCAAGCAATTTAATTGAAAAAAAATTAATAAAATAATTTTTTCTTTCCCTCCTCTTAGTAATTTCTCTTCTCATTTTCTTTTTTCTCTCTAACAGAACATGAAAAAATGTTTTTTTGTCTCATTTTTTCTTTCTTTCAAATTTCTTGAACCAAACATTGTATCAACATGCTTTTCTGGGAAATGTATGTTCGAATCTAATTTTGTTGAAAAGGAACTGTTGTATGGACTGTTAAAATCTGATTTTTTCAATGAGGGAGGATTATTATCAGAAAATATTATTTGCTTCTTTCCCAAAGTCATAAAATAAAGAAATCACTTCATTTTGTTGAATTATCCTCAATCTCCCATCAACCTAGATTCTAAGCTTGATATTCATACGCGGTTCTTATTTTAACTTAAAATAAGTAATAAGACTCATACTCTGACATGATCTTATATGCAGAGTGTTGTTGGCTTCTTGGAGTCATTTAAATTTAAATTTTTTCCTGATTTTTATCTTGATCTTCTACGTTGTCTATTGTTTTGAGACCTTGACTTGTGTGATTCAATCTGGTAATTGTGGTGGATGCTCATAGAATTATTATCACATACTGGAAGTGGACTACGATGCTACTGAGGAAGTCATTCGATCCAACTTTATCCGTCTCGCTCTGGTTTGTCGTCTACATATAATAAATCACAGTCTCTTTCCCCTTTCCCCACATAGGACTAAGAGTTTTTTATTCTCCACATATTAATTAGTTAATACTCTATATTAATGTAAATATACACAAATGTCATTTTCCATTATTTTTTAACACGAATTTTCACCTCATTGTCCCGGCCCATCACATAGCGTGTTGCTTGAGGAGGTGAAGAGGAAGAAGAAAAAATGGGAGGAGAAAAAGTATCGAATGCATATGGAGTAGGGGAATGAATTAGGGCTTGGGTGAAGACATTATGGTACATTTAGTATAATATTTAGTAATTAATAAATTAATTGAAGTAATATTTGGAGAATTAAAATCATGGAGTCTTATATAGGGGAAAGGACAAAGTTTTAGTCCTATTTAGATCAATTTTCTTTTTTTCTCTATTTATTTTCATTTAGTTAGTTTTTACTTTGCAATTATGATCGAACTTGATGAGGTATCCTCTCAAAAGTTTCTTTTCTTTTTTTGCTTGTTCTTTGTTTGTTTGTACAGAAATGGCACCCAGACAAGCAGAAAGGGGAGGGCAGTGCCACCTCAAGATTTCAAGAGATAAATGAAGCTTACCAAGGTTATCCTCTTACTCTAGTTGATGACCAATATATTTTTGCATGATTAAGAGTGGCAAGTTTCTATTCGTCATAGTACTTGGCAAGTACTAAACCCTGCTATACCTTTTTCTCTAGCTTTGTCGATCAAGCCAATTGATTGTAGAGTTCGAATACCATAGAGTTCATGCTTTTTTTCCAATCAAGCTAGTTGGCTTTCTGTGCTTGCCATATTTGAAGAATATGGATATCAGAGCCTAATTCCTAGAGAAGGGCACAGCAATTACATTTGAAATTATGATAATGATAAGGAGGTTTTTACTTTTCATTGATCTGCATATCAACTGTCAAGTTATCAGCATTTCAGAGTTCTATGAAAGAATATCTTTTTTTAGTTTGCCATCACTTTATAACCCAATTATAGAAGTTTATCATTGTAAACGTTTAGATAGAATTGAGGTAAAAACTTTATGGGGTCATGAGAGAAAAAATCATTTAGCAAAAATGTGCTTTAGAGACAAACATCAATCATGTAGCAAAGGCGCTACTGAAGTGTGCATTGACAGATTTGACGCTTGCTGCATACATGAGCACTTTCATGTACATCACTCCTAAAAAATAACATCATGCCCTTTATTTCCCTTGTTACTCAATGTGCCATGATTACATATTATTTTAAAAACAAAGCTTTGTAGGCAGGTATTATTCATTGTATTGCAGTTTCAAACTCTATGGGCTAAGTTAACTGAATATGTTGCAATAAGTATAAAACTAAAGGGTCTCCATCTGTTATCATATAGTGAGGCTCAATGGGTGCGTGAGGAGGGTAGCTCCCACTTAAGGGGCGTTTTTTTTTTCAAATCCACATCATTGATCATTCCTTCAATCTTTGTATGTCCATAGCTTAATTGTGTTACCACAAGAAATAAGAAGTTAACACCCTCTTCTGGTGAATTTTGAAATAAAGAAACCCACCAAGTGAGGGTGAATTATGTGTTTTTTTGTGAGGCGGTGTAATGCTAACGCTCTAGTGCAGAAATGCAAGAGGTTTACATTGGTGGGAGTAGGGGAAGGGGTAGACTTTGGAAGAATTTGAATGAGACGATTAGTCATGACTTGACTCTTGGCCCTTACTAAGGATATGCCCTTAGATAGGAGCGTTTAGAGACTTAGGATCAGAGTAGTTGGATAAGCGCCTTTGGGCTAGGGGGTAGTTTTCTGCACTTGTGTGCTTTGTATGCCCTTTATGCTTGGTGCTTTTGATTGCACAACATATCATTCATTAACTTTAGTTTGTTCTTTGCCATTGTGTTCATGTGCCTTATCTTTTCTTTATTTGCACTTTCTCTACTTTAGGTATCTCCTATGATCATTTTTATGTGAAATTTGCACTAAATAATACTAAAACATATGTTATTTCCCAATGTAAACATTGACTTAATAAATCCTAACATATGTTATGTGAAATTTGCACTAAAACATATGTTATTTCTATGCTATGATTTGCAAACAAAGAAGCTCCCAAGTATGCTCCTAATGAAATAAGATATTAAAGTGTAACAGTGCAATCAAGAACATACTCCGTACATTGATTTTGTTCTGAAATTACAATGTATAAGAACAAGCAAATAAATTTATGAAAATAAAGAATTTTGCTAATTGTGCGTTGGAGTGTTTGAATCTTTAGTATTAAGTTATTTTGAATGATTTAAGAGCTCAAGTTGTAGTTTTAAAAGCTTGATCCAAAACGGTAGGCGATTTCAAAATCATATTCACAAAATATTAGGATATATTAAGTCAAGGTTATCCCGCAAAAGAGTTATGTAGTAAGGCAAGTGAGTATTCAAAGAGTAGTACAGACAGAAGGATTAGCAAAAAACAGAGCAGATCATAATGACTAGTACAGAAGGCTTTAAGAATCAAGAGTCAACCTGCTCTTTAAAGTAGAAGCCTGGTTAAAAGCTCAGATAGCTTAACACAACACACTTCAACACAGAAAGCTTACTTAAGACTATAAGGTTAACAATTCTATAAACAAGAGACATTCAAAAGACAATAGTTTGGCAAAGCGAAACTCAGAAGACTTTATTTAGCCAAAGTTTTGATAAAATCCTGTAGACAGAATGTCTTTTGAGTTAAAAGAGTGAAAAAAGATGGCTTTGGTAGAAGTAAGTTTGAGAAAAATGTTTTTTTGAAAATCAGTCTGGGAGCTTAAACCTAATGACAATATTGGTCATTCTTGCAAAACATAGTCCCAGTGAATTGTGAATGTATTAGACTTATAATGCTACAAGAAACCCCGCTACTTTGTCATTTGTCAACACAGAAAACATATACGAGTACTTAGCATAAGTCGGCGAAATTTGCACTATAAGACTTTGTTGATGATATGATGTAATTCAACGGTGTAACAGTTTTGATAGATCCGGAGAAACGCCAGGAATATGATACAAACGGGTTGCCCTGCGTCCTAGACAGCAACATAGCAGTAAGTTGTGCCTGCCCCCTTTCTTTTTTTTCCATGAGTGGGGTACAATAAGAATCTACTATACGTTGCCATGCTTGATAGATAGACAGATAGATAGATAAACTCATAGAATTTTGGTTTGGGATGATTGAAGGACTATCTAAACCGTTACAAGGGACTTATTCTGACGTGCAATGGTCTTGGCATGAAGCACTATATATTGTAAACATAAAAACACAACAAATATTCTTGGGGAGATTTTGCAAGCAACGGATTTTGTCACACCTCCCTTTTTAGGGAATGCCCACATCCCTACCACCAGAAGTTGCTGCTTTCATTGTACATATATATCATATATATATATATATATATATATATATATATATATATATATATATTTGTAACTATTATCTAATCTATGTATGTGAGGTTGTCGCTTTGTGCACAAGTTCTTTATCTTTTAGAGGAACAAGTGTGATGAAGCCTGGTAGCCTCCTGTTGTTGTTTTCATCTGTCCATGTTGCTGCACCGGAAATGCGAGAAACTATAAAGTTTTGGTGAGTTTCTTACAACCTCTTCATGAGCTTTTTCCTCATATGATGAGCAAGAAGCAAACTTTGGCTATGCATTACTATGGCAAAATAAAAACATGTTGCCATTGATTGAATCATGATGAATAAAACTTCCGGGTGTCACGTTTATATTGAACGGGTTTTATTTCGTAATGCGTATGATTTAAAGTTAATCACTTAATTTTTGAAGAGGGACAAGACTTTTGGTTTTTGAGGTTTATGAGCTCATTTACTCCTATTTTGAGAGTTAAGATTACTGGTGATTTCCACGGTATAATGATAGGGAAAGGAACAAAATGCCAGTGAAAGTTATATGCTTGTGCTTGGTTTTATCTCAGAAAAAAATGTAAAAGAAAATGAAATAATATTAGGGTTGTATATTTTCTGAATGTATATTTGTTTTTCTTAGGCCTATTTTGGGAATTATGTTTGTGATAAGCGTTAGTGTTTTAGATAATTTTTTTTATGATGCTAGTTAATTTTAAAAATACTAATACAAGCTATTGTTGCTCCAAAACGCTGAAGTTAAATACTACGGAGTAAAACTAATGTCTAACGAAGCCTTTGTTTTAAAATAAAATTAAAACAGAGTAATAAAATAAAATTAGTTTGAACATAAATCAGTTATAAAGTTATTATGGAACCGCTCGAGAGTCAAAATTGCCTTGAACCACTTGGAAAAAGTTGTGGTTTTGATTCTCACTTTTGGATACTGGAATCGTCTGGAATCGGCATCAATTATATTTATTTAATTAATTACTCCATACTTTTTTAATGTTTGTTTTTAATTTGTTTAAGAATGATTCAAAATATTTACAAACAAAAAATAGTAGTGAAATTTGCACTGAATAGGACTAAAACATAATTCATTTCTTAATGTAGGACTTAAACTTTTTTATTCCCTAAATAAGACTTAATAATGACTAGTGGGAAGAATAATGTCCAAGTGATGTTGGACATTTAGTTGAATAATGACTAATAGATAATGACCAATGGTCCTACATCGGGAAATAAAAACATATGGTCCTATATTGAGAAAGTCATTATGTTTTAGTACTATTTAGGTAAATTACCCAAAATAGTACTCCGGGGTACTTCATATATAAACTAAAGTACAAATACCGGTGTAATTTTTCTCGAAAAATGTTCACCTTTATACTAGTTTCAGCCTATTGGGTACCAGACACTTTTGAAATAAAAATTATTTTGAATCTATATCGTGTCCACCTTTAGATGATGATATTCATCGTTGTTAATGAGAGCACGCACCATTAGAAGTACTAAAATTCATTACTCCATAAAAAAAACTTTCGTGTAGTATGGAAAATAATACATGATTTTTTTGATGTTGTAAATAAAAGTTAGAGAAGAAATTTAATTAGAACTACGGAGTGACATTTAATAGAAAAACAAACCACAATACAGGCAATATTTGGTTTTTGACTTTTGGAATAGTTTTTAACTGTTTTGACCAATTTTGGTTATTTTGTCTAGTCAAATAGCTAAAGAGAGTGCTTGGCATTTGGTTGTTGATGTTGGTTGTTTGATTCTGAAAAATTATAATACGAAAAGCTATGAGGAGTAGCCTATCATTTTCGTAGATCTTTTAATGTAGTGTTTTTAATATATAAAGTTTGTTTTTTTAATCTCGCTCCAATTCTCTAATCAATTGCATTAACTTCAATCAAACATCATAAACTAAAACATACGATTTAAATTGGGACGGAGGGAATACTAAATTACGAAAAATGAAATCAATTTCCTATGAAAAGATTGGGCTTCCTTTGATATGTATTTGGGTGATCATTTTTTTAAATATGAATAATCATTTAATTGAGTAATTTTTTACTCCCTCCATCCATGTAAGATGTTCTCAATTTGACTTTTCACGGTTTTTTAGGAGAGTTGAAAAAAGGTGAAAGTTTACCAAAATACCTTAATGAAAATGGGTGGGGTGTATTAAATAAAGTGGAAAAGGTGTAATAAATAAAGTAAGTGGGGGTAGTTGTGGTATTTTAATTATTAAAAAAGGTAATAAGAAGATCTATGTGGGACAAACAAAGTAACATTCAATTTTTTCCAATAGTTTCAATTTCAATTCAAAAGAATAGAACCTGTATAAAAGTATGAGGATTATAGTGTACCGTGTACGGCTGTGCCAGTAATTATCTTGACAATTTCAATTATTTTAAAAAACAAAATTATTGGAAAACCCGATGGGCTTATACTATTGGTACCCAATTACCAATAGTCTTTCGTTGGAAAAGGAAAAAGGAAAATTGTTATCCAATGGGTCAATATATAAAAACCCATCCGGGGAAAGCTACTTGGAAACCTAAAGAAAAGAAAAAGGAAAAGGAAAACCGCCGCCCTTTCTCTCAGCCGTTTCATTCCGCCGTTCCTCCCCCCTTTTCCTCCCTGCTGCAACAGTGCCAATGGCGGCCGCCGTCGAAGAGAACTTGTCGCGCGAGCAGTACGTGTACATGGCTAAGCTTGCCGAGCAAGCCGAGCGCTACGAGGAGATGGTGCAGTTCATGGACAAGCTGGTCCTCGGTTCGACCCCAGGCGCCGAGCTAACGATCGAGGAGCGCAACCTTCTCTCCGTCGCCTACAAAAACGTGATCGGCGCCCTCCGAGCCGCCTGGCGCATCGTCTCTTCCATCGAGCAGAAGGAGGAGTCCAGGAAGAACGACGACCATGTCGCGCTCATCAAGGAGTACCGAGCAAAGGTTGAATCCGAACTGTCTCAGGTCTGTGCCGGAATCCTCAATCTTCTACAGTCCAACCTTGTTCCGTCTGCGAGCTCCAGCGAATCCAAGGTGTTTTACCTCAAGATGAAGGGCGACTACCACCGCTACCTTGCTGAGTTCAAGGTAGGCGACGAGCGGAAGCAGGCGGCTGATGATACTATGAGCTCCTACAAGGCTGCTCAGGTTGACTAATTTCAATCCTCTCATGATTTCTGGTTTTGAATTCCGCCGTTTCTGCATTTTGATCTACTAAATTCTAGTTTAGGGCTTCAGATCCTGCACTTGCTCATTCGTTGTGTGTATGTTTAAAATTGCTCTCAAGGTATTTTATGATGTAGATCGTGTCTCCTAGTTGTCTTGTCAATCAGATTTGTGCATAGGCTTTGAATCTGGGTCGAAGCTTGTTGCTACTAGTATTTACTGACTAATTGGAGTAAACTAAACTTACAATTAAGGTTAGGAAAGAAATGATAGATTGCTGTATACTTGTGATCTCTTGAAACTCAAATCTGGATCCCTCCCTGTGTCCCTGCCTTTCATGACCTTAATGATAAAGTTTCAAGTGGCCCTATTTTTCTCCCAAGGACAGAACATCATCTAAATTGTGTGTATGCTATGTGTGATTAACATATGAATGTGTGCTTTGTGTTTCCTTCATTACACATTTTCCCAACCAAACAACAGCCAACCACACTCAAGAGAAGACTTGTGAATGATAGCAATGGTCCATTTACTTCTCTTGACACATTGGATTCACATTAAAGGTGGGAGAGTAAATGGGTTGGCTGGGTCTGGTATGTTTGTGCCCCGTGCATTAGGTCGTCTCTAGTTGTGTGTTTGAATCTACAACTACATTGCTATGCTTTTGAAAAAAGATTAGTTGCTAACAAATTTTCTGTTTATATGTTTTGACATTGAAGGACATTGCTCTGGTTGATCTGCCTTCAACGCATCCTATAAGGCTTGGGCTTGCCTTGAATTTCTCAGTTTTCTACTTTGAAATCCTCAACTCATCGGACAAAGCATGTGTCATGGCAAAACAGGTAAGTATTTCACTAGGGGCTCCTACACAACACACCTTAAGTATTTCACTAGGGGCTCAATTTTCACTTTGTTGAAAACTTGAAATAATATAAATTTTCTAAGGAAATTGGTTTTGGGTTGTTGGGGCAGAAATGACCACACAAGAATATTTATTGTTCATTTACAAGAAAGTATTGCTTATATCCACATTAATTATCAATTGTGTCATTTAGCCAAATATAGAAGTTCTAGTTGTAACTCCGCTCGTGCTATACGTGTTAAAGTAAATTTTCACCATGGTGGCACAAGTCTACCTAAAGCTAGTGGAATAAGGCTTTGGTTTTGTTTTGTGACAAGTCTACCCAAGGAAGTCAAATTCGAGATTCTACATAGGATCGATGGGCTTAATAAAGATCGTAACTCGGATCGTAAGATCCTATGTATGTATGTATGTATGTATGTATGTATGTATGTATGTATGTATGTATGTATGTATGTATGTATGTATGTATGTATGTATGTATGTATGTATGTATGTATGTATGTATGTATGTATGTATGTATGTATGTATGTATGTATGTATGTATGTATGTATGTGTTAAAAAATGTATGTACATACATACATACATGTATGTATGTATGTATGTATGTATGTATATGTATTTATTTTACTTAAAGAAAACATACTACGTATATGTTTAAGATGGTGACTGCCAGAAGCAAGAATGGTGTAAAAACATATTTTAAAAAAATCAATAAAAAAGAAAAAATACCTGGGCAAAAAATTGTGATGAGAAGTTGACGCAAACTTAAAATTAGAAGAATAGCAACTTGCGATTACTAATCTCTAAGCCCAATGAGAAAATAGAAGGATTCATATGTATTTGTGTGAGTAAATGTCTAATTAGACAATAATACGTATAATTAGACAATAATACATATAATTAGAATAGTCAGAAGGGTCAGAGAGCATAAAAACCAAAGGGGCTTGACTTGGCGTTTGGAATTATGGAACTGAAAAACTAATTTCAGTCGATCACCGATCCCTGGCGAGCACACGATCCTACGATCCACCATGCCGATCCAAACTATTAAGATCGCAAACCGTACGGCGATCCTCAAAATCGTAGGATCGTGCAATCCAACTCGCGATTTTGACTACCATGAGTCTACCTCTCCATTACAGTATTTATTGATAACCTCAATCATTTTCATTGTCTCTTGACTACTTGATTTGGCTCAAAGAAGAAATAAAATTTTTAAAGAGCGTGCATGAAGAGGTGGAATAGTTGGGGTGTTTTAGGTATTACTCCATATTTAGTATAAGAGAAAATGGAAGACAAACTGACAAAGAAGAGAAATTATCTTGTTCTCTTCAAAACTTGTTCAGATAGAAAAAGATGAAGGAAAATAATGAATATATATCAATATGGGACAAAAATGCTCTAATTAATAATGTAATTTGGGATCCGTGCAAGGAAAAGGAAGGATTAATTCTCAAAATTGCATCATCTCATTGTCTTTTCATGTTAGGAAAGATTTTAAAAAGGTATAGGATGCACTACTATTTGGCTCTCCCTCCTTTGTCTCTTTCTCTTCTAAGCCAGACAAAGGAATTGGCCCAACTCTTATTTTTCCCTTCACTTATTTTCATATCTACCAAACACTTTTTAGTTCCTACAACTTTTGTTTTGTTTTGGTTATGGTTGGATATCCAAGTTTGCTTTGCTTGGGTTTTAATTGACTCATTTCATTTTTGTTGGAAGTTCATCTCTCATTGTCCAGATTTTTTGGAGTTCAGGAGATAAGGTTTAGGGTATGGTAATCTGGGTATGTGCCTTTGGAAGCAATTGACTTCAACTTGTGTGCAGGCATTTGAGGAAGCAATAGCCGAGCTAGATACATTGGGCGAGGAGTCATACAAGGACAGCACCCTGATCATGCAACTCCTACGGGACAATCTAACTCTTTGGACTTCAGAAATCCAGGTTTGTGCATAAGTGACAAAGATCTCTCTTTCGAGTTGGGTGGGTCTTTATGTACTCCCCCTTTCTGTGTACATTGCACTTCTCCACACATATCTTTTTGGGCTCACCAACAGTTGAGGCCGATTATATTATTTGCAACATTTTTTTTTGCATCCCAAGTGAAATGTGTTTCTCTCTCTTTTTTTTTTTGTGTGCTCGCGTGCAGGATCAGGATGAGCCTTGAATCAGCTGAGGGCTCGTGGTTGTGGGTTTAATGTCATGCATGCATGCCCTCTCCCTCTAATTGTGTAATTTTCTTCATCCATTGTCTTTGTTTGTTGTGTAAGTTCCCAAATTTCATTTATCTGTGTAAAAATTAGTCTAACAGCAGAAACCCTTTAATCTTGAAGGGAGGGAGGGTGGGTGCGTCGGGGATTGAGGTGTGAAACATATGATGATTGTTTGTGGGAATTTCTTGTGATCATATATATTGAGGTGTGGTGCACTTCCATAATTGGACTCGGTTGTGAGAGGTATCTCTCCAGAAAATAGTCTGCTAGGGGGGAGGGAGATTTCAAATTTTTAATGGTCGCATAGTGGCTACTTTTAGGACTAGTATAGGAGTTGAGCTTTTAGGTACACCAAATAAACACTTTATGTTTGAAATCTAAAAATCAACTCTCATTTCATTGAACATAGTTCAATTCATTCGAAGAGGGCCTTCGTAGTTCGAAGGCGAAAGGAGGGGCTTGAACCCTCAACCTCAGCCTTGGTGAGGCTATGCTCTACCATTAAGCTATTTGTGCCAGTGGGGAACGAATGAAAAGATCTGTAGGTTTTAGTGAATGAGTTTCAAATGAGTGTAATGAAATAAGTACGAAGTAGTTATAGATTCGTTTCACATAGTGAAACTCATTTCGTTAAACATAGTTCAACTTATTTTGTTTAAACGAACCTCGTACCTCTCCCGCTAATAAGGATATGGTCATCGGTGCCGTGAGAATTCCTACCAAGGTCAGTAGGGGTGCTTTCTACAGGTATTTTTGTATTCGTTACATTTTTTTATGTCCAGCGAGTAGATTTTTGTTTTTTATTTTTCAAAATATCCAATTCTTTTATGATATCTAAATTTAACATCTCATCTAAAGGCAAAATAACAGATTTTTTTATTTAAAAAATTCAAATTCTTGTATTTTAATTATGATAAGTTATGACATTCTTTTGTGAACATAAGATCTATGCTTATTTTATGAATTTTAGTGCACTTGTAGTACTAAAGAAATTAGCCTTTTACAATAAATAAATTTTCACATGTAAATTCATGAAAAATGTGAGAAAGTTTACGTTTAAATGTAGAAATTGGGACCATGTAAGTATTACTCTTGAATTCTTTGCTATTTTGTACCTTCTAAGAGTGCAACATCCTATTAACCTATATTATTTTAATTCATTTTGTAAATGCAGATTATTGTAGTATTCGAATACAAATTACGAATGTAGTCTAAAATATTTGCCTCCTTCATTTATAACCTACCCTTGAGGTTTACTCTTTAGTGTAACTCTACCCATACTCTTACTTAAATAATCAAATAGTAGAAGAATAATACTTTGTATAACGTCCATTAAACGTCATTTACCAAACATATCAAATTTACAAATACAACTCATTTATTTTTTTACTTAAATAATCAAATGTTTATCCAATTCAAGTAAACAATAATTAGAATGTTATTTGTTTTAGTAGTGAAGTATCTCAATTAGATCAAGGCTAAAAGGAGGGTTATGTCGTTTTTTGAGACACGATAAGGAAGTTGTAGATTTGTTCAACACATCAATTCGAGATTTGTCGTACTTTAATTCTATCATCAATGAATGTAAAACTCTAATAGCCTCGTGTGGTGAAATTTTTAGTTTTTGTTTTGTTTTTTGTTCTGCTAATGAGGCAGCGCACTTGTTAGCATGCACATCTCATTTTTTTAGAGCATGAGTGAGTGATTTAGCTTACCCCGAACTTTATTTATACTATAATTTAATACAGGTCTTGGTTCAAATAACACTTCATTCTATTTTTTTTGAACACTTTGTTTGATTTATAATTTAATACGGAGTATTTAATAAATATAATATACGGCGTATTTAAAAAAATATTTTGTATAGAGTACTAATCTTAAATTTTTTTTTTAAGGAGAAGAAATCATTGTCTGCTTAAAGCAAAGAATAAGTCCATTAAAAAATTGTCATCGTCAACGATTTCTTCTTTGCGGATATCTCATTTCAAGTGGAAGTGTGAAAAATTGAATCTATTGAGAACTTGAAACATATCAACTCAGAATGACTGAGAACTTGATGCTCATTATGGTAGGAACACGCAAAATCAATTAGACATTGACCAGTTAGTATGAAAAGCTACTAATCAGTATGTGATAACTCATAGGCTTGAGGTTTGCTCATCGACAGTATTAAATATCCTTGGGCCTAAAAAAATATTATTCCCTTAATATTTTACTTGGGCCTACTTATATCTTACTTTATCTCTGGGGATTGTTTCGAAAAACTTCTAAGATGCTTATCAAATGCGGAATACCAAATATTAGTATTAATTAAATCATTATTGTAAATATTTTTTCAAAAAGTCCTATCCTGATTTAAAACATGTTTTCGTCCCACTAAAATTTTGTTTTGATCCCTTTAAAAAAATTTGGTTCATTCATTTGATTTTTAATCCCTCTAAAATTCTTTTTTTTTTCCTGTAAAAACTATTATAGGGTACATGATATTTTTAGATTTATTAGCAATAAACAAAAATGTGAGATTTTTGCTTGACTGAATTAGTAAATTGGCAATTGTTCATCCAACTATATGGTTCTATAAAATTTTGATAATATGTAGTCTATGTTTTAAACACTATCATTTGTTTGTTTTTAAGCACATACTATTCACAATTTGCCTGTAAATTTTGGAAGAGAAAATAGAGAGTTAACAAATGGAGTTAACAATGGGATTTTGTACAATTTACTATACTATATAGATTTACTTTTCATGTATAGTTTATCACATCAAATGGGTTTTACTACTTTAATATCTCTATAGAATAAATAGTGGCAAAACTATTTTATTTAATTAATTAAATAATTAAAAATAAATGGAAAAAATACAATTTATCAATGTGAATAAAGGAGGAGTTTGGTCAGCAGGATGTCGTGAAATGGATAATCAAACGTACACTTTTTTATGCTTTGCGGGCTGAAGAGGATAGTAACTCATATTTTACAGAAGTGGTTTAAGATTGTAAAACATAGATGTTTGCACTTCGCTCCCTATTTATTTGTGATATGTGGATTTTTGATATGCTCAATTAATGAGAATATCATTTACTTAAAAATAACATGTGAATAATAAATTTAAAATTTATTTAAGTTTGGAGAAAATACATGATGAATAATGCAGTTTGTGGCCTGTGGTATTATTTTAATATTAAGTTTAACGTTATAAAAAATTGTGTCGCTGTTTAGACGATTAATTAATTGTTTATAGTTCAGTATGCATGGAAACCTTCAATAAATTCTTCCATTGCCTAGAAAAATAAAAATAATACTCCCTCCGTCCCATTTTATAACGTCTATTTCGGTTTACGATGTTTGACTGAAATTATTTTCAAATCATTTTATATGACAAATGATATAGAGTTAAAAAAATAAAAATTATATATCAAAATACTACGTCAAAAGATCTACAAAACTAGTAGTGACAACAATATTTTATTTTATCAAATTGCTAACGAAAATAGAGAAAGAAAGTGAATGAAGTTTGACCCTGTGAATAGTAAACAAGCATTATAATTTGGGACGGAGGGAGTAATAATTTTCAGAAAAGGAATTTGAAATTTGTCTTAAAAGCATTTTTAGTGAATTATTTTACTCATATTAACTACTCCTTATCTGTAAACCATATGCTGGCCTGTGTAACAACATGCAGCACCATATCCCAAAGTGTTGAAAAAGTAATATTTTTATTTGAAAAATATTTATTTTTACCACATGGTTTTGGTTCATTTTCCGACAAATCGATCCCTCCTAGCTAGCTGCGGGTTAATTTTTTTTCACGTTGAATTATATTATATATTGGATCATTAATTATATGTATAGTCAAAAATGTAATAATTATGGGGTCAAACCTTAGGACCTAATCAAAAAAGACAAAATTTTTTAATGATTGTTTAAGATGGTTTGGTTTGAATATATATTTGTTGTATATATGTGTATGTGTATATATATTAGAGATTGTTACACATTTTTTAATTCATTTTTATAGCTTGGGGAGCTGTCGCACCGATCACAACAATTCAATTGGTCCGTGCCAATCTCGGGCTCATCACAACCTCTTTTTATTTTATAATTTGGTGTCAATTAAACGCATAATATAATTTCAAAAAATAAAAAAATGAAAAAGTTTATAATTAGTTTTTTTTTAAAGGGAGAAATGTCAAAATTGTGTGTTCCATTTTTGAGAAGACAAGTGGACAGATACAAATTTTATTTTGGGACAAATAAGCAAAATTGTACGCCGGTATATTTCATTTTAAAATATTCCTTCATTCCATAAATTTATTTCTCTGGTTGATTTTTTAGGTCAAATTTGTAGAATTTGACCATTAATTACGGATAAAATACATTGAATTATACTCCGCAATAAAAAATAATATCAATAGATTCATTTTGAAATATAATTTTAAATTATATATTTTTTATAATATATGCTCATATATAAATACAAATACTTATAGTCAAGATGTTATATGGGAGATTATGAAAAGTTAAATGGAAAAAAAATTTATTGACCGAGGGAATAGAAATGTAAAGAAAACATTCAAATGTGTGAATATAGTACTAGTAATCTTATACTCCCTTAGTCCCACAAAACATTGTCCATTTTAATGTATTTTTTGTCAAGCAATTACATGCTTTGACCATAAATTAAATATAATCTAAATAAAGAAATTTTATAAAAATTTGATATATCAAAACTAGATCCTAAGATGAATCCAATTATTTTAAATTTATATTACAACTCAATATACTTTTCTTATAATTTGTAGTCAAAGCGTGTAACTGTTTGATCAAATATTATTCAAAATGGGTAATATTTTCTGGGACAGAGGGAGTATAATACTCTTTAGTTTTCTATCTTCAATTCAAATATTAAGAAATATGAGTAAAAAATATCGGTCAAGTTCGTCCCTGGAATGAGTAAGGAGTTTGTGTAAGATGACTTTTTGGGCTGGAAGAATGGATTGGTGATTTGAGGCACAATTGATTTGGACTGGGAGCACAAATATGTTTGGGCTTAGCTTTTTTGTATTTCAGGGGCAGGCCCAAAGCTCAAGTGATACTCCGTATTATGTGTAGCTTTCTACAATGTACTCTCTCGTCTCAAAATGATTGCCATATTCTATTTTTTAATTATCACGAGAAT